GATAGCTATAGCCTTTGTTCAAGAACCTTGGGTTTACAAGGATAATATTAGAGGTCTAACTGGCTGTGGGGAGCTATTTAGTTCACCACATGAATCAGTTCCAAGGGCTTGCCTGATCTATAAAGGTCTAGACGCTTTCCCACTATTGGAATTAACTACTGGGCACTTAGCTGTTGTTAAGGCTAAGTACTTGGAAAAGAACGTAAATGAAAGGGAAGTTTTAGTAGCTTCCGCTTATTTTCCGGGATTGGGGGATGAACCCGCACCACCTAGAGAGGTGGAGAAGTTGGTAGATTACTGTCAACGGCAAAGTCTCTCTTTGATAATAAGTTGTGATATCAATGCCAATGCCCAAGTCGTTAATTAAGTGGATCGACAGTATGCTTCGCGAAAGGGCCCTGGAAACAGAGTATGGTGAGGGTAGGGTAACAGGCCTTGTCTCAAAAGGGTGCCCACAAGGAGGCTATGAGGTCCACGCCAACAGATGCTTTGGGATTCATACTAGCCGAAGTACCTCTGCATATTGCTGCGGTGAAAAAGGCGGCTCTTACTATGAGCAGGCTAACCGCGCAGGGAAGGTGGAAGTTTGGTGCGTTTACCACCAAAAGATAGAATGATCAAGAGGGTGAAATTTAAACCCCTCTTTAAGATCATTACACATTCTAGGCTGGACTGGAAGAAGGGTTTTCTACTTGGAGACGAAGTCTGATATACAGACGGCTCCAAGATGGATTGCGGTGCAGGCTTCGGAATCTATCGAAAAACTGGCTGCATTAGAGTGGCTGAGTCACTGGGACAATATGCAGGCCGTGGCCTGTGCGATTTTAACTTGCGCCCAAATATTCATTCAAAAAGGAACAAAGGGCAAGAGGATTAGTATTTGCGTGGATGTTCAAGCGGCCTTAGGGGCTCTGAAAAATCCCACAATAAAATCAAAACTTGTCTGGGAATGCCGTAGCGTACTGGATGAGTTGGGTTCAGCAAATAAACTTTCATTGATTTGGGTACCCGGTCATTCGGGAATCAAGGGTAATGAAAGAGTCGACGTCTTGGAAAAAATCGGTTCCGAGACGCATTTATAGGTCATGAAATAAACCAGCAGTGGCATTAATGCCGTGCTTGGTTAAAGGAGTCATAGAAAGATGGGGTCAAAAGGAATATGAAATACATTGGTCGGCAATTGGGGTGGGAAGGCAAGCGAAGACTCTGTTGGGGCTAGTACTCAAAAAGAGACAATCAAAAAAGAGCGATCTCCTATAACTCGATTAGATCAGAGTTAAAACCGTAGTTTGTCTGTTTACAGGTCATGGACTGTTTCAATAGAATTACCATCAGCATAGAATAGGTAGACAAGTTTCGCCTATGTGCAGATTGTGTGAGACGAGTAACAAAACTTCGACTCACATATTATCTAAATGCCCAGTGTTAGCTAGGATCAGGCTTTTTAAAGAGGGTCAAGCAATTATTGACCCTAATCAGGTTAGCAACTTATCATTAGAAGAGATACTGGACTTCTGGAAAAGAACAGGACTCTAAAGGGGTTGCTAGAAACGAGCGAGTTGGAGTTTGGTATAATGGTTAAAAAAAACCTTGGTGCTTTCTTTTCCCATTCTGGGAAAATCCAGCTCGATCTCGGATGTTAGATTAGATTAGAAACCAGGCAGTGCCGTTCTTGTAGGGCGACAACTGTAGGTCGCATATAACCTACAAATTTCAGAGACCATCATACGCTCTTGACTTTAATAACAAGTTAAAAAAAACTTAACATCAATAAAATAAAATTGTTTTTTCACTTTGCTGAAGTAAAAAAAATGTCATTAAAATGTTTAATAGCATAGCCACAGAAATAAAAAATAATTATTTTAAATCGTAAAATATACAATAAAGAATTTTATTTATTAAATTAGAAAAAATAATTTTGTCTTTTTTATTAATTTTGTGGAAATTGAAAAAGTAAGGACTTTTTCTATTATTCACTCTTGACATGGTAAATGTAAAAATATTATATGGAAATTGGAGTGAAGGGAATCGTGTATTACAAGGGCATAAGTTTCTATGGAAGTGTACTTGTTTTTTCGTATGAGTGACCTCTTTTGAATCAAATTTAATACAATGTATTCACTTATTGTTAAAAATAACGCTTAATAGCAATTCATTGGGAAATAATTCATTTATCAATTTATTACATTCTTGCTGTTATGTGATGTTTCATTTTATTAATAAATTTTACTAATATTACGATAAATTTTGCATTTGTTTAAATAATTAATTGTTGCAAATTTATTTATATTATTTTCAAATCGACACAGAGATTTTTTTTTTTTTTTATTTTTATTTTTTATTCTACAGTTTTCCTCTCCACTGTCGAGGAAACCCATTAGACGGGTGGTCCAGGTAAATCTGAGTACTCCTAATTTTCAATTTGTTCTGAACGCGCAAAAATTTAGTATAAGTTACAGTATGTAAGAAAATTTCCACGGGGACACATGTAAACGATAGTGTTTAATTATTGGTAAAGTGAAATATTCTAAGACAATTCTTGGGTTGAATGCAACTTTTGAAATTGTATCTACGTCGGCCGCGTGAGGGCAGCATCTTTCGGCGTTGTCGCCGGTGAGGTGCTTGCGCGCGCGTCTATGTATATTCTCGTCTCTCGTAAAAGTATAGTCTCTCGGCAAGGTTGCGTTTTTGCTCAGCTCTCCGATTCTTTCTTTTACATTTATTATTTGAGTCAGTTAATTTTTCATAAAAGGGAGTTTTATTTAAAAGAGAACATTCTCAAATATAATTGTTAAAATTAGCAAGGACATTCTCAAATTATAAGTGTATTCTCAATTCTTTGTAAAAGGTGTGCTCTCGCCGGCGTGGCCGCCGCCATTTAAAAAACTCGAGTGAATTTTATTTTATTATTTATTTCCAACTATTTCTTTTTTATAAACTAAGGTTTTTCTCACGATCGTTCTCAACATTTTTTGGTCCTTCGAGCCGGATAGTTGGTGATATTAGTACAGGTGCTATTTCACATTTGAGTTTACATGCAAATAGGTTAATCAACACTGTAAGTGAGAAAAAATCCAGGAATATTTTCTGTGTTGTGATTTTGCACGCCTAGCGGTTTGTCTCAGTGCTCGCCATCTTTTCCTCCCGTACTTTTTCTCAGTGAAAAGTGAAACCAGTTCTCGCGTGTGCGCGTTATTGGTGTCCCTACTCCCCACTCTCTTCAGACTACGTGTGTGAGTTCTCCTACCTCTCGTTACAGTGTCTTCGAATACAAGGCTTTTCTCACCCATATCTCAACTACAGCATAGTGTAACTTACTCACAACGAAATTTCCAACGGCCAAACAATGTCAACTTCTGATCACGAAGAAAAAATCAAGGCGCTTCTCGATAAAAAGAAGGAATTTAAGAAAGAAGAGGAAGATCCAGCGAAGGAACCTCTTGAACCCACGATTACTCTTCGCATTCCTCCAGGACATGCTTCGCATAGTTTAGGGAAAACAAATAGTGATGCCGGCAAAGCTGACCCTCTCCAGAAGGTCAACACCAAGGTTGAATTAAAAATTGCCACTTAAAGTCGGACAAGATTGACTATCATTGAGGATATTTTTAGCAATCTACAGCGAGGTCTGTTTACTGACAATAAGGAGTTTCTGCAGATGAAATTGGAAATCCTGCAGGAACATTGGGATCAGTTTAACGAAATTTACGATGAATTGATCACCAGCAGTTCGGCGAAATTCTTTAAAAAATCCATACATCTTAGAAGATGTTTTCGGTAAATGTTTTCAGGCATTCACCAAGGCTAGAGACGCAATGCTTTTGCAAGTATGCGTACTTCAAAAGAAGAAATCTTCAACTTCTGCTTCCTCACCTGCTCCATCCGAGGCTCAGCTCACTCGAAGTCTTCCGAAGATTTCTCTACCTTCCTTTTCTGGAGATTATTCAACCTGGACATCGTTCAAGGATATTTTCACTTCATTAGTCAAGGATAATAAGGAAATCTCATCAGTTGAAAAAATGCATTATTTAAAAACCAGTCTTACCGGTGAAGCCAGTCAACTCATTTCAAACTTTCCAGTAGCTGGGAAATCTTTTGACTCTGCATGGAAAATAATTGTCTCAAGGTACGAGAACAAAAGATTACTTATTTCCACACACATGGACCAGCTCTTCGCTACAACGATCAATTTCCCAAAATCAGCCCAAGGAATTAACTCTCTTTTGTCATCAACCACGGAGTCTTTGAATGCACTCGCAACTCTCGGGTTACCTGTTGAACACTGGGATCAAGTCTTAGTGCATCACATCACCAGGAGACTCGATACTCACACAAGGGAAGGATGGGAAGTCAAACTCGGCGCTAAAACGGAACCTCCTACTTACGCTCAACTTAAGGATTTCCTCACTGGCCAAGCTCGGGCTCTAGAGAGCATCTCTAGTTATTCCCACCAAGTCAAGAGTAATAATGCACCAACCAAATCTCAATCCATGTCACCATCTCGCAAAGCTTATTCAGGATCAGCTCATTCAACCAATCAACAAGGAGAAAATTCTTGCTCAGCATGTGGAGAATCTCATTACATCGTAAAATATACTAAATTTCGGGTCATGACTCCCAAGAACAGAAGAGATTTGGTGATAGAGGAAAGACTTTGTTTCAACTGCCTTGGCCAGCACAGTGCAATTGCTTGTCGAATTGAAAAGCGATGTCAGGAATGTGAAGGCAAGCATCATACGATGATTCACCAATCATCTGCTCCGCAGCTCAATAAAGGCTCAGATTCGACAAGGGATTCTCAAAAGGACAAGGATCAAAACTCCGCAAACACTTCCAAGGCAAACTGATGGAATGATCAGCTTGACGACTGTTGTTCTCACTCAAGGCCAGTGGTTCTCCTCGCCACTGCATGCGCTCTAATTTATTCTCAACAAGGTACTCCTCACCCACTTCGAATTCTCATCGATTCCGGATCCGAACTCTCATTCATATCAGAATCAATGGTACGACATCTCAATCTCTCAAGGCAATCTTCAACAATATCGATCATCGGAATTGGAGAAATTAATTCAGGTACTACTCGAGGGGTAGTTCCAGTTACACTCAAATCTATCTATTCTTCAAAATTCATCATCTTCAATGCATATATTCTTTTAAAATTGTCGTCAACGCTTCCTACTACAGTTATTTCACCAAACAAATGGTCTCACCTTCAAAACATACAACTTGCCGATCCCGATTACCCCATTCCAAGGAAAATTAATTTGATTATTGGAGCAGATGTCTATTCGCAAGTTGTGCAGCCTGACATCATAAAAGGACCTCTCTCATCACCAATGGCTCAAATTACCATTTTTGGTTGGGTGGTATTGGGACCAACCAACAATGATTCTAAAAAAGGACATTCATCTCATCATCTGATTGTGGATCAGCAACAGGATGATTTACAAGGTCTACTCACCAAATTTTGGATTCAAGAAGTACCTACCAAGGAAAAGGACAAATTCACCATTCAAGAATTGGAATGCGAGGAGCATTTCAAGGTGACTCATTTAAGGGATTCAGAAGGAAAATACATAGTTCGACTTCTATTCTCTTCACCAGCGAGTCAACTTGGCAACTCGTACTTGAAAGCTCAAAGATGCCTTCATCGATTTTTCAACCGCTTTTCATCTCAAGGAACTTTCAAGGAACGCTACTTTTCATTTCTTACAGAATATGAAAATGATGGCCACATGGTTAAGGCTCCTCCAAGGAAAAGTAGACTTACGACCTACTATTTTCCTCACCACGGAATTAACAAGGAGCAAAGCATCAGTACAAGTCTCAGGGTTGTTTTTAACGGATCCAGCCCTACTACATCCGGTACTTCTCTCAATTCAATTCCACATACTGGTCCCAAATTACAAAAGGATATCTCGGACGTCCTCCTCTGGGTAAGGAAATGTCGATTCATTTTTTCTACAGACATCACAAAAATGTTTCGTCAAATTAAGGTGGACCCAGATGACTGGGATTTTCAAAGGATTCTACGGATCGATGCAAACAATAAGGAAATTCCTTACCAACTCACCACGGTTACGTACGGTACCAGATCAGCACCATTCTTAGCAGTCAGGGTAATCCTTCAATTAATACAAGATGAAGGTCACAGATTCCCCCTAGCGGTACCAGCTCTTCTCAATGGACGTTACATGGACGATATTTACGGTGGCTCTGACAATTTGTCAGAACTCAAGGACATTGGTCACACTTGTCTGTGCCAAAACCAAGGTGGCACCTCTTAAACGTCTAACCATTCCAAGGTTAGAACTCTCAGCAGCTCACCTTTTGGCACGACTCATGGATTATGTTCAACGAACACTTGAATTATCTCACGCTCCAGTGTTTATGTGGACAGACTCATCGGTAGCACTCACATGGATCAACAGCCATCCCTCTCGCTGGAACGAATATGTACGCAACAGGGTATCTTCTATCCATGACCTCGTCCCTCAAGGTCAATGGAGATTTATCAAAGGGAAGGAGAATCCTGCTGATTGTGCGTCAAGGGGTTTGTCTATTCAACAACTCTCTCACCACCATCTGTGGTGGAACGGTCTACCATGGCTCAAAGGTTCCAAGGAAGACTGGCCGACTTCAACCTCCAAGGCAGAATCATCAGCTCAAGTCGAAGAAAAACCAGGATACACATTCTCTGCCACAATTGATTCATCAATATTCCTGTTTTTTCAAATTGCTAAAAGTTACTGCTATTGGCCTCAGATTTCTTGCAATTCTCAACAGAATTCAGAATTCTTCTTTACTCCGACCAATCGGACCTAAGGATTTGGATCTCGCAAGGACTACTTGGATAAAAATCCCACAAGGAACTTACTTCTCATCAGACATCAAGAATCTCAAACAAGGCATCAACTTTCCAAAGTCTCATCCATTCTCCAGACTTAATCCATTCATCGATCTTGAAGGAGTTGTCAGAGTCGGAGGACGGCTCAATCATTCAACATTAGACAACGAAAGCAAGCATCCTGCTATTTTACCCAAGAATTCTCCTTAAACTCGATTCATTATAGAAGAGGCTCATTCAAGGACTTTTCACGGAGGAACTCAACTCACCTTGGCTTGCATAAGAAATTCTTACTGGATCATTGGAGGCAGACAACCTGTTCGATCATTCATTCTTAAGTGCATTCCTTGTGCTCGGCAAAGAGGAATTCGAGCACAACAGCTGTTGGGTCAGCTACCCTTAGAAAGAGTCACCCCATCAAGACCATTTCTTCACTCAGGGGTTGATTATGCTGGACCAATCACCCTCAAATCTTGGAAGGGTCGTGGAGCAAAAACAAAAAAGGGTGGATTTGCCTTTTTGTATGTCTCACCACCTCAGCTCTGCATCTCGAGGTTGTCACGGACTACACCACAGAAGGATTTCTCTTAGCTTACCGGCGATTCACTTCAAGAAGGGGTATCTGCCGGACACTCTACAGTGATTGCGGTACCAATTTCATTGGAGCAGAAAGAGAATTGAAACAATTATTCAAAGCCACTTCTCAAGAAGCCAAGGAATTATCTCGGTTGATAATCAACGACGGCACTTCTTGGAAGTTCAATCCTCCAGCAGCCCCACACATGGGTGGGAAATGGGAAGCTGCCGTAAAATCCATCAAATACCATCTCAGAAGGACGATCGGTGAGACGATCTTAACGTATGAGGAATTTACAACTCTTCTTACACAGATCGAAGCTGTACTCAACTCCCGGCCGTTAAAACCTCTAACGGATGATCCTGACGATCTGACAGCTCTCACACCAGGACATTTTCTCATTGGGGAATCTCTAACTTCGATACCGGAACCTTCTCTTTTAGAAATACCAACTTCCAGGTTAACAAGGTAGAAACTACTCCAACAACAAGCTCAATTCTTTTGGTCAAAATGGTCTACCAGTTATCTCCAGCAGCAACTAGCTATCTCAAAATGGTATCACCCGTCTCATCAAATTAAGGTTGGTTCTCTGGTTCTTCTCACAGACGAAAGGTCCCCCCCTCAAAATGGCCTTTAGCCAGGGTCACTGCATTACACCCTGGAAAGGACGGTCTCACAAGGGTTGTCACAATCAAAACTGCAACGACTCATCTTAACCCTTAAACCGCACCCTGGGTGTGCGACACCCATATTCTAGCTTTTTACTCTAATATTTCAGTTAAATTCGTAAAAATTGAACATGTGTCGTTATTGGACGATACATTTTGTACTTAACTTTATCTTCCGTGAGGGACATTAGTCTCCCAAGTGTCTTTGTGTATTTGATAACTTTATGAAGTTGTCGGCGAAAAATTTCTGCTTGTTTGACACCCAGTTTTTGGTTTAAGGTAATTTTAGTAGTTTTAAAAAACTCTTTTTTAATTATTAAAATTAAATTAATCATTATGAAACCTATTTTCCTTCAAAATAGATGTACTGAGCTATATAAGATAATTTTTCCAAAAGATAATATCCTATTCCAGCTTGGAGAACACACTTAAAAGTCCCCGGGTGTCGCACACCCAGTGTGCGGTTTAAGGATGGATTCGGCAGTGTGCGGTTTAAGGGTTAAGCGACCAATCACTAAGTTGGCCGTGCTTCCCATCTCTACGGAATAAGCTCTCAAGGACAACGTTCGTTTAACGCAAGGATCGTCAACATTGTTGCCGATTGGGGGGGGAATGTTCAATTATTGGTGAAGTGAAATATTCTAAGACAATTTTTGGGTTGAATGCAACTTTTGAAATTGTATCTACGTCGGCCGCGTGAGGGCAGCATCTTTCAGCGTTGTCGCCGGTGAGGTCCTCGCGCGCGCGTCTATGTATATTCTCGTCTCTCGTAAAAGTATAGTCTCTCGGCAAGGTTGCGTTTTTGCTCAGCTCTCCGATTCTTTCTTTTACATTTATTATTTGAGTCAATTAATTTTTCATAAAAGGGAGTTTTATTTAAAAGAGAACATTCTCGAATATAATTGTTAAAATTAGCAACACTGAAAAACTGTTGGTAGAACAGTTCCGCTATTGACTGTTGTGCAGCGCTACTTGACTTTAAACTCACAGCTCCATCAAAATTGGGCGAGCTGCTCTCTTAAACTTGACTACCAATGGCGTTGGTGAGCGGCTGCTTGACAAATAGTTCAGCAGCTCTATCAAAAAGGAAAGTTGCTTGCCCTAAAAGGAGAGTAACTCGCCCAAAAATAAAGTGAGCTGTGCGTTTCTTTTTAACGCAGCAGTTTTGTAAAAGGTGTGCTCTCGCCGGCCTGACCGCCGCCATTTAAAAAACTCTTGTGAATTTTATTGTGTGTGAAAAATAAAAAAAGCAAAATTGAAAATTCCAATTTAAATTTATTTAAATTTTACCTCTACTTTAATTTGCATGGTGGCCTTTTTTAAAAATTCAAGATGGTGGACTTGTACGTCGAGGAGCATAAAAAAATTCTACTTTATGCTAAAAAAATATTAATTTCATAGTAGAAATAGTTTCTTTAGCACAAAACAAACCTCTTTATTCGTACTTTATTTACCTTTATTGACATTTGCGAAATTTCAAAATGGCGGATTCAATATGGCCAAAAAAATATAAATTTTTGTCAATCTTTGCGAAACTTACTATTAAGAGGTTATTTGGGTCGCTGATTGAGAATCTGAAGTAAGTTTTGCAAAATACAAAATGGCGGATCTAATATGGCGGACCTATTTTTCAAAAATCGTACTTTTTTGATTGAAAGTTGTTACTCAAGGGTTTTTGAGGTCGCTGATTACGAATCTGAAGTCAATTTTTGAAAAATTCAAAATGGCGGATCCAATATGGCCGAAAAATATAAATATTTGTCAATCTTTGCAAAACTTACTATTGTGGGGTTATTTGGGTCGCTGATTACGAATCTGAAGTCAGTTTTGCAAAATACAAAATGGCGGATCCAATATGGCAGATATATTTTTCAAAAATCGTTCTTTTTTGCTTGAAACTTGTTTCTGAGGTACTAATAAGAATAACTAAATATCCAGTGCAATGGTGTGTACCGGACAATAATCGACAGTGCACATCATTATTCATTGACGTCAAACCTCCCGCTCAGATTATCTCACGTGCCGGAAAAATCCCAGGCTAATGGTCGCGAATCAAGAACCCTTGGTCCTACAGCGTCCGCCACGGAGGCGTCCGCCGAGCCAGGCATTTATCCGACCGAGCTAATCTGTCGGTATATATATATATATATATGTCGTAGGCAGATAGCATAATCCGGTAGTATAACTGCGGGCAGTTAGTAAAATGCCTAAATTTGAATGTATAAAAACAGGTAATATGCAAAGTACCTAGGCAGTTTACATACTGCTAAAGACGTTTCAGGTTATATTGAATATTTATTGAAATATTTAAGCTCTAATTATACTTTAGTTTGCAAGTTTCGACTTTATTATTCATAAATGTAAATGACCAAAGTTGATAAAATAAATATTGATACATGTTTAAAACAAAATTATTAATTTTAATGTACTTTTAGCCCTAAAAAGATTTTATCCAAGATTCGTTGTTAAATATATAAATTTTTTCAGTGCGTGGATAAGAAAGGTGCTTTTTGAGTAAGTTGGGCAACCCATTTTTCTCGAAAATTAATAAAATCTAAGTTCAGAAAATTTAAAAACTCAAAATGTCAGATCCAATGTGACCTAACGAAAAATCACTATTTTTAAACGACCCTATTTAATCCGCTATTTTGAATTTTGAAATATTAAGGGGAGGATACATTAATATTTTTAATTAGTTTTTGAAAAATCATTAGTCATAAAATAAAATCAGTCAGAAAATATTTTGACTATTTTTAAATTTTTATTTTCCTTTAAAAATTGGTAGATTTAGAAATCCATGCATAATTTTGTCGATATGTAATGTGTTTTTAAACTCACAAAAAATTTCGAAATAAAAAAATTAATTTTTACAATTTTTAAACCTTTATAAAAAAATAACTTTTTTTAGGCTGAAAGTGCAACAAAATAACATTATTAGTCCATATTTTTATTGAAAATTCTTTTGCTTATTTTTATAACTGATTTCAGATCGCATTTTTTATTAATATTACAAATTTTTTAAATATGGAAAAATAGTGAGAAAATTAAGATCTGTAATTAGTTAGAAAAAATTTTGAACGAAAAAATTGAATAATACCGTGAAAGAGGATAATTTTGCTCAATTTTTAAATTATTTTTTTAATAACTTCGGGAAACGATAAAAATAAACATTGGCACTGAAAATATATCATCTCT